CGGACATACATATGTTATGTCCGCACGACGAAATTGACGTAAACACGAGGGTGTTATGATGGATTGGGGCATTTTGGCCACCGTGGAGGCCACGACAGCGAAACCGCGAAACCGCCAGATCCTCCCACAGAACTTCACGCAGTTTCATCCCTCTTTACAGGAAGAGGTCCCAGTTTCACCGCCTTCAGTAGCAAGTGCTTTTTTTCGCACGGACAGCCACATAGGGTCAAAGCGCAGAGCGCTGCATTGTTTCCAAGGGGCAGCCAAGGCCGGCCACAAAACTGGTGTCCGGAATGCGACTGGTTGGCCGTGCAAAGGCACAAACTATAGCAACCCATCAGATCCCTAGACTTAAAAGCAGCGCAGAGCACCGAGTCTGAATTGGGCTAACAGGAGTGGCATGAAGAGGATCCCAAGCGAATTGAGCGGAAAGCTGCTGTAGACTAATTTAGTGGAAAAAAAAAGCGCCCGTAGACTAGTTCTACAGTGCTGCAGACAACGCCCCCCCCTCTCGAACAACTACAACTTGACAAAAAAGCTCTCGTAGTGGCAAAGAAGGCTCCTGTAGAGTATTTCAGCGGGGCGGGTCCGGGGAACTACTACTACTACCACTACCACTACCACTACCACCAACTACTACTACTACTACTACTACTCTGACGCGAGGTAGTAGTAGTCCGGGCCCCCCCCCCAAAAAAAAAGGTCCAGAGTTCCAAGTTGTTCAAATTCAACTATTTCCTCGGGCGCGTCCTGACAGAGAGAGCCAACATCAAATAAATGGGCTTGACATAATATCCTCCACGCTTGACATTACCCAGTCCTCTTCCGAGCCCAACATGCAGCATGCCTTCTCTCGCAACCACCGACTGTTGATGTGCAAGAAACGTCGGTTCCTCAGCCAGGTGCGGACTGTTTCCACGAAATCAATTCCCCAAGTATTACCCTATGGCAACTTAACATAGCGAGAATGGTTGAACACTGCCCACGTGTACATGGTTTACCTATCAAAACAAATGATTTTCCATAGCTATATTAAAATCATTGATGTGGGTAAAACAATATTCAACCACCCATTTGGGAATGGGTTACACCACCCATAGAAATGATGATTTTGGGGATGGTTTATGAAATTGTCTTACCCACCATTACCAGAGATGACAATAAATGGGTTGGTATAAACCATCCCCATAGGTCAGTTGGGGTTTAGCAGTTTACTTATCAATTCTTCCATTGATATCCCAGCGAGTTTGGCGCCAGGGTGAGGCCCGTGGGTCCCCTTTTTTGTATTTTTTATCCAAATGGCTTACCCTCCAATAAATTAACAGTTCGACCCTGCCATTCATCGGGGTTGGTTCAGATTAGTTTCCGATCAAGCCGGGCAATTTGAAGGGTCCAACTGTTAATTTACCAGAGAGTATTGATAATTATGTGTGTTGATAATTATGAGCGCTGATAATCATTTTGATATTTATGATTGCATATGTTTTCTTTATCCCCATTTGATTCTTAAACCGAATGAAACTCCTGCAACATGAAACATCAGGTAGTTCAATGGTGATTAATAACCATTAATCAACATTAATCACCATTAATCACCATTAAATCACCATTAAATCACCATTAATCTTTATCCCCATGGTAGTTCAATTGTCCACATGTGTGTGCGTGCTTCGAAATGTTCAATACCCTCCGGTTTTTTGGCAGTGGAAAATCACCTTAAATCAAGGCCGAAGATTCTCGAAAACTCTTCCAGCAAGCCGTGTTTGATGACACCGAAGAGTATTAACCAACATTCCATTCAAAGACCATAATCTCCTATATTCCAATCTTCCAGAAAAAAACGATATTGAGAATTTGTTCCAATATTCCATCAATATCCCAATGTCGTTATAAAATCCCAATTTGTTCCTATCCCAGCTTTCATATTCTCATGAAAACCCCGTTTTTTGGTTTGAATGACAATGTCAACAAAAGGTTTTGGGTCAAAATCCTACCTAGGTACCCTAGCTGGTGTAGCTGGATACATCTGGATACAAAAATGCCCAGAGTCATATGGAAGGAAAATCAGACTGCCCGTTCTCCCCTTGTTCTGATGACTTTCCGTCTGAGGTGAGGACAAAACCACTGGCAATTCCCCACCATCGATGAAGTGGTCCACCTTGGAGCAGATCCAGTCGAAGTCGCTATAGCCGCTATGTAGAAAGTGTGGCCCCAAAAGACGTGGGCCACGAATCATCCAATGGATATGTCATGAAAATGAAAATGACATATCCATGACATATTTTTATGGGAGATTGACGATATTTTAGATACCCCATATACCATGAATATGATATCTTGACCCAAAGAAGCCCATGTAATACTGTCCCATAATATCAAAGCCATAATTATCCTATAATTATACATATTCCCAAAAACATATCGTATATACATATACTTGGTTCATCCCAGCTAGTAAGTGGGTTATAAGCCCAGTTACAAGTGAACGTTGCCCCTACTTAGCCGATTTGTATCCACAGATATAAGCTTAGGATTTGTGGGATGTTCGCCACCAAGTACATAATTATACATATCCCCCAAAACTTTTTTAGGGACATCCCGATATCCCATATATCAATGGCCATTTCAGGAGCCGATTTATTGGAGGTACCTACCATATATAAGGCCTATTTTTTAGGGTTAAATTTCAGGGAATACCCCTACAAAATATGGCCTGAAAAATGGTACGCTTACGTACCTCCATGTATTGGATCCTGAAAATCCCATATCAAAACCATTACCCCCCCTCTGGTTTTTCTAATCCTGGTTCGTAAGTCCCCATCAGCGGCTCATCCCAACCAGAAAACTGACTTTTTTTGGCGAATATCATCATCCACCTACTAAGATGCAACTATTATAACCATTATATATATATATGACCTATATTCCAACTTATGTGTTATTTGTGGTTTATATTGATGAGATTTTTTCTAAGATATCCCCACTTAATCTAACCAACTTAGGATTCGCAGGATGATCCTCGAAGCGGAATCCATCCCTGTACCGCACCTGAAGGTGCTGCATGCCGATGTCAAAGTTTCGTTCGTTGGCATGCTGCCCCATCTGGCGCGTCATTTTCATGGCCGATTTGGGTTATATAATCGCAACATGAGCATATGAGGTATTTGTCCTTCAAAATGGCTTAATAATCATAGGGACAACTATGATCAACTATGAAAATTTAGGGAAACGTGATGTATTTTCCCCCTTGGGAACATGGCAACAAAAAGATGCGCAAAACCCAACCCGCATTTAGATTGTTCCCCCGTGACGCCGGACGGGTCATGAAGATACGAGTGGAAGAAAGAGATAATAACCTAGCAACCTGGCGAATTTAGGCATATCAATGATCTTATAGAAAATATGGTTATTAGCTCTATTATGATATCATAAGGTATAAGTTTATTGTTCATGTGATATCTCATGATCTTCAACTTATACCAATAAGCTGGACCTGAAAAATAAAAGAGGTGAGATATGATAAGATAAATACGAAGAAAGGGATGGAAAATACATGGACAATACGTTCCGCCGAAGGTGATTTGGAGCTGTTTTTGGAGCTTTACCTCCAAGAAGAATGATGATGACATGGAAATTCCGCCCAATGCCTGGCATCCCAAGCCATTCAGAAACACTGCCATTAGAGGTAGCCCGGTAGCCCTCAAGTTTTGTCGCCGTCCTTTGAGAATGCAGCGGATGAAAAAAGGACCCCTCCTTCTTTTTGTCGATGGCAAAAGCAAGCACATAGACCATGCTTGGCTGATGTCTTCTATGTTCCCTTATATACATACATAATCATATATAGTGACGATTTGGATATTATACACATGAGTTGTCTGAGAATAAGGTGCCCCATTCCATCAATTGGTTAATTATGCCATATTCCGGATTAAACTGGCTATAGACCTACCCCATTTCCGGACAACCACAACTATCATATATTGTTTGAATCGTACTACTATTACCAGTACGTCCCATATTACATCCCATGTCAAGACGATCACTATATACCTCTGGTAATCAAACATTGCAATTGAAAATCCATAGTTGATCTTCCTGCAATAAAAAAAAACACATCCATGGCTAGGCTAGTTCGGAGATTTCCCAGCTTGCCATGTCTTGCCATGTTTGATGACACCGGAGAATATCCAATATTCCATGACTATTCCAGGATATCTCCGATTTTTTCATCCCATTGATATCTCATGAATCTGCCATTGATATGCCGTACATCCCATACAATATCCACATTGATATCGACAATCATATTGCATTTAGATACTATATCCCATACTATATCCATTAATATTCCATTTAAATATTAACCCTGTGGTAATTTGTTACGTAGCTATTGAAAATGGCCCAGTCGAAATAGTGGATTTACCCATGAATAGCATGGTAGATCTTTCCAGTTCATTATGTAAACGTTTACCGGAGGGTAACTTATACATCCAAAAAATCATATCCGAAGATGCTTGAACCCAGTTGAACCCAGCGGAATGAAAAAATCGTGTCTGACGATTCAGAAGAGCTTCATATTGTCATAACCAAGATGAGTAATAGTTATATGGTTATATGAAAACATGTAATTTAGTATCATAATGTATTATATGCTTAACATTAATAGGTTTATCACAGTAATAACCATGGTTTATATGAAGCAATATTTACCATTGTTAACAATCATATTTTCATACCATGGTTTTCCCCTAAGGTTTGTTGATAATCAGTAGCCAACATTATATTAACCAATATTTATCTACCATTGTTAACATGTTGAATTTTAGATACCTTGTATTTTTTTAGCTGGCAAATGTATATGTTACCATTGATAGCAATAGATTTGAAAGTACTAGTTAATATCTCAACAAGGTTGACCCAGACATGAATCATGAACTAACCATCACTTATATATACTTGGATTTGCTTAAAGGTGCCCAAAAAAAAACTATTCACTATAGATTCCCCAAATGGTGGATTTTCCATTGGGCAAATAAAAATCACCTTAAACAAACCCAGGTATATATATATAGTTATTTATATACGTATATATATATATATATCAGTTTTATCCACTTAAGTCCCCATCATTTCATGGTGAAAAACCCAACTGAAGTTCCCATTTCTAACTTCTCAAAGCATCGACCCATCGACCCATCGACCCTCGCCCTCGACCTCCAAGCGAATGCCCTTCAAACGCAATGCCAGGACCTGTGAAATTCTCATGGAAAATCTCCAATTCGCTTGACGCAACCCCCAGGTGAAACGATAGGTGAAAACTCGTAGTTTAATAAGCTCAATAATTAGCTGTTATGGCTAATGTGGTTGATATGCGATCGCAACAATAGGTTATGACATATGTTCAAATCCTGATATCATTGAAGAAATCCAATGAACAGCTGTCCACTTATATACTCCTCGAAGTGCTTGTATCACCATTAAACATCAACCAAAGTTCAAGATTGCTAAATGAATCTAGATAGCTCGATATATATATATATATAGATATGCTTATATGGTTATAATCAGATAGATAGTATGCTATTCATATCCAATGCTATATACCACTCTTCAAGTTAGATTCATGTTTGGAATGGTCATCCATCCCTATGAATGGGTTCATGGCCATCCCATATGAATGGGTACAGTTAAGGCGGCTTACCAGTTATGAATGATTATAAATGGCTGTAAATGGGGCTATCCAACTTTTCACCATGTATAAATATATATAATTATATTGTACAAAGAATTCAAATGCGAAAGGCCGCAGCGCAAGCATCTGGTCGCCTGAAAGCAAAAAATATATAATTATAACCTAAGGATCGGGGATAATCTCAGCAACAGATGGCAATGATTTCAGCCATTTATGGTTTTTCTATTGGATTCTGCACCACCAGTTATTACACACTAAATTCAATATATCATGGTATACCATACAATGGAAATGACATTATAATATGTTTATATAGCATTTCATGGTGTTTCACATCACTGTCATGCAATTTTCACATCATGCTCACATGATCTTCATATGATTTACCCTATGGTAAATTATAATATAGCGAACTGGAAAATCACAATTTTACAGCTAGGTATTAGTAAATCAACTAGCTCTATGGCCATTTCCAATAGCTAATAGTTATGTTAAAATACTATTCCTATGGCTATGTTGATTTACCTAGCTATGTCATTTACAATATATAATATATAGTATATAATATATTTATACATATAATGTACTGTATATAAACAATATATATATATAATAGCTATGTTACAGGTCCCCAGTTGTTGATCCAACGCCAGACGCCGTGGCGTGTCCGTCTCGACCCGTGGTAACGACCTCTTCGTGGCGATGGATCCAACTCACCGACAAAATGGGGACGTGGATGGTCAAAGTCCAACCTGAAAACGATCGCTTCGGACATGAAATATAGATAAATACGATAAATGGATATATTAATGGATATAGTAATATTTAATTTGACTATCATAGTAGATATTCTATATAAATAATGATTGTCAAAGTATATCATTGTATATCATAGTAATGAATATCATAGTATATCATGTATTCGGATATTCTATTTAAAGAATGATAATCAAAATGGGATATTGAATATCATAGTATATCATATCTCTCTATATATATATCATAATATGTTCAATATTCTAATTTTCCCAGATATACTGGGATATAAATATATATATATAGTGGGTATATTAATGGATGATTCTTAACGGATATATTAATGGGTATATAATGGAATATATATATATATATATGGGATATATAATGGGATATATCTGGGATATATAATGCATTAAAATAGGATATATCTGGGTATTTCAATAGATTTTATCTAATATAAATATTAACATGAATGGGAATAATGGGATATAATAGGATTTTCCCAGATATCATAGGATATATATATATAATTTATATATTAATGGGATAATGGAACGAATAATGGGATATATATATACAGGATGTTAATATATAATAATAGGACATAATCTATTGTTGATATCATATATAATGGTTATTTCAACAATAGATATACTTAATGGTATATATAATAGGATGTATCGTGCGAGGTATATAATGGGATACATATATATATATATATAGGGTGTATATATATATATAGGGTGTATATATATATATATAGGGTGTATATATATATGCACCAGGCCCTGCCACCCCCCCCTCCCCCCCCCCATATGGAATGGGTCCCATATACTGGTCCCATATGAGATCTTCCCCCTCCCCCCCTGTGGTGGTGGTGGGGGTGTGGCACTGTCCCCTCCCCCCCCTGTGGTTTGTGGTGGATGGGTCCCATATACTGGTCCCATATGAGATCTTCCCCCTCCCCCCCCTGTGGTGTGGTGGGGGTGTGGCACTGTCCCCCTCCCCCCCCTGTGGTGTGGTGGATGGGTCCCATATACTGGTCCCATATGAGATCTTCCCCCTCCCCCCCCTGTGGTGTGGTGGGGGTGTGGCACTGTCCCCCTCCCCCCCCTGTGGTGTGGTGGGGGTGTGGTATGGTATGGTGGGTATGTATGGTGTGTATGGTCGGTCTGGTATGGCATGTTTGGAAAGTATGGTATGTTTGGTATGTATGGTAGGTATGGTATGTATGGCATGAGTGGTTGGTATTGTATGGATGGTAGGTATGGTATGTAAGTCTGTTGGATATGGTATGTTTGATATGACAGTATGTATGGTCTGTATGGTATGTATGGTTACTATGATGGGTATGGAATATGTCCTATCTAAGGTAGGTATGGTATGTATGGCATGTATGCTTGCTATTGTATGTATGCTATTGTATGTATGGTAGGTGTGGTAATTACATTTCATATGTATGGTATGTATGGTATGTATGATAGATATGATAGGTATGGTATGCATGGCATCATTGACATGTATGGTAGGTACGGTATATGTTCAACAGAGGTAGTGTTGTCAGAGTACACAGGTAGTAAACAGGAAGTAGATACAGTAGATACATAGCACATGTATGTATGACTATAGGTAGCACGTAGGTACTTTGAAGGAGTATGTGTGCTACGTAGGTCGCCTAAAAGGTAGCATGTACCTAGTAAATGCGAGGCTGGTAGTCAGAAATGCTGCAAAGACCTAGCAAATACGACGCTGGACCTCAGAAATGTTGCCAATAGCTTGCAAATAGAAGGGAATTGGGGCTACTACCTGGGGACCCAACCCATGGGGGGGGGGTGGAGAGACGGAGGACGGGACCATATATATATAGGGTGTATATATATATATATATATAGGGTGTATATATATATAGGGTGTATATATATATATAGAGGGTATACCCATCAATAATGGGATATATGATCATAGGACATTCTATTTCAACAATAGATTTATATCACAGGATACTCATCATGGGTGTATATATACATATATATGTATATTAATGGGTATATAATGGGATATATATATATGGGATCATAGGATATGATAATGGAATATATCTGAGTATTTCAATATATGGATATGATCTGGGTATTTCAATAGATTGTATCTAATATAAATATTAGAGATACTGTGGGTGGTTGCGAAATCCTGCATCACCTTGGATGGTTGAAACCCTATAAAGAATGGGATAAACCACTTATCAATTGGTGTAATGGTGAAGGTATAATTAGGGGAATCATCCTCAGCCATGGCCGAACTAATCAGTTGAGTGAAATATTATTTTCAATATTCTAATTTTCCCAGATATACTATGATATATATATATATATATATATTTATATATATATATATTTACATATATATATATATATATTAGAATTATAATGCATGGTGGTGCCCCAGTTCGTGAACGCTAAGTTGGTGCCAAAAACTCCAATAACTCGCTACGGTTTATGGCAGATATGTCGAACTACTTACTATGGTTTATAAACCAACAAACATTCCTGGGGGGCACCACCTTGTATAGATATGTGCAATACATAGTGCATGATACAAATGATATATATGCACACATATATACTTTACATATAATATCAAAAAAATACAAACATATAATATGTTGTCGCGTCTTGAAAATGAAGCATATACACATCATTCATTATACATATATTGTAAAATGTGTATATGTCGTATATATATATAGTATATATTGTGTATATATATATATGTGTATTTTGATATAGATAGATAGCTAGATAGCTATCTAGCTAGATGGATAGATAGATAGCTCGATAGCTCGATAGATAGATAAACAGATAGATAGATAGCTAGCTAGATGGATAGATAGCTAGATAGATAGATAGATAGATTAGATAGATATATAGCTACATACATAGATAGCGAGATAGCTAGCTAGCTAGCTAAATAGATTGAAAGAAAGAAATATAGATAGATAGATCTGTAATGTTTAATGTATATATTATGTAACATTAGATCTCCCCAACTGGATGGGTCAAACTCCAGTGTTCTTCGAAACCTTGCTGTCTTCTACCTGGCGTACCTTTGAGGAGTTGAAGATGTCTACTTGATTATGGGAGACAGTCATAGGAAGTCCGACGATGTTAACATCCAATCTCGGTTTACCATTTCCCAAATCAAGGCTTCAACAGGGTTGCTGGGGGAGAATCATCTACGATTGCAAACAAGAATGTTTGGACCATAGAAACTCTGCGCACTGCGCACATTTCAAGAATTTGTCATTTAAAGGCCTTGATAGGCATTGATATATCAGGGCCTTGATATATCAGTGGTCACTTTCCAAGGCTTCGGACCTTGAAACATATGGCTTTGTCTAAACATATGGTACTCGAAAAAAACATGCTTCTTTATATGTTTCCCATCTTAATCGTAATTTTGGGGAATACATAGGGTTTTTGTTGCACAAATCTAGATTCAAAGGTACCTGGATTTAAGGGCTATATGCCATTTGGGGTTCCCACCTGCACCACGTGGAGGCCAATTGTTCAGCTCTTGCGATGTCAGAAGCAACGATTCAAATCAAATTACCAAGCGTACATCATGACAGCCCCAAAGCTGAACTAAGCCTATAGATCAATTCATATCGTATATATTACGTTTTGTTGAAATAAATACATATTATGTATATATATATATATAAATTCTTGTATATATATATATATATTCTTGTATATATATATATATTCTTGTATATATATATACATATATCATGTATTTATAGTACCGTGGAATTTGGCCGGCAAGTGATGTGTCTTTCACTGGCTCTTTCTGAACTATATGGCCACCAGAACTGAGCTCTCGGACTTGACTTCTCTTTGTGGTCCTGGCCGCGGAAGATGGAGCCCAAGCGACCACAACAAAAAGACATAATGCATGCCATCAGTCTACCATTTGGAGATGCTTTACAACCGGATATTTAATGACATTTGTGGTAAGATTGGGATGGTTTATTGATGTTTATTGCTGGATGTTCCACATTAACTCTTCAAATCATTCACGTCTGATTAATATGGGTAAAACAATAATAAACCATCCCCCAACTCACCATAAAGAGGTGGTAGTATAAACAATTCCCAAATGGGTGCTTTATGGCACTGTTTTACCCACATTAGTGGATTTCATGAAAACCCAGTGGTACTGGGTTATGAAACCACCAAGCAGAAAGCCAGAAGACCTTGCTGTGTCAACACCTTCGAACATTCTGCAATCATCGAACATCGCAAACTCCCATTGTCTGTTTGTCCAAGAATTATTGGCATAATATCTAACATTGAATAAACATCAATTCAAATTACAATATAATCCACTATAATCCAATGAGTGTCAACGGATACCCTTATCATATTACTATTAATTATACTTATATATATATGATTATGAATTCCAATATATTCCAATTACAGTAGAATTTATCCCATTATTGTACTATTTTCAAGTGGTGTGTTCAACAAAACCCTTGGTTTAACTCAGCTTCATCACGCCTCAGCTTCCTCACGAACACCCGACCTTGGAGATCTTCGGCCCAAAGGCAGCTTGGATTTTAACCAACGGTACCCTCTGGCAAACTAACAGTTTGCAAACTTGAAAATTGCCATTTGAGTTCGTTGATTTACCCATTAAACATGGTGATTTTCATTGGTTTTCCATTGTTATGTAAACGTTTACCAGAGGGTAATGGTTGTTTGAACAAAGATCAGGAATTTAGATGTTTATTTGCCCGATTTTCGGTTTTCAGTGAGAATTTCAGGACCCTGTGGAGCCATGTAAACGTACCATATGTCCATAAAACTGCTTGAACATTTTCCCTGGAATCCCTGAAAATTTGGCCGGAATACATGATACTGTGGATGGAAGAAATCCTGCACCAGTTGATAGGTGGTTTATCCCATTATTTATAGGGTTTCAACCATCCAAGGTGGTGCAGGATTTCTTCCATCCACTGTAAGTACCTCTAATAAATCGGTTCCCGAAATCACCAATGATTTCTACCAAAGGGTGAGGAACAAGGAGCAAAACAAATATGTTATCCTCCGGTAAACATACAAAAAACTATGGAAAATGGCCCATTTATAGTTGATTTACCCATTAAAAATGATGGTTTTGCATAGTTATGATAGTTTACCAGAGGGTAACCCACAAATACATAAATACGAGGCATCCACACAAGTGGGACTAAAATGGAGGTACGTTAGTACCATTTTCGTGGGGATATTCCCTGAAATTTAACCCTGAAAAATAGGCCTTATATATGGTAGGTACCTCCAATAAATCGGTTCCTGTTGCATGGCCATTGAACAAAGGCTAAGTCATGGCTATTGTTGGAGGCCGGCAACGGTAGAAGCAAAATTCTTGGCGCACCAGTAGAGGAGCTCATCATATTCTTTTTGTGATAGGGAGTCCGGCCCCAGTCCCAATTTCTTTGATTAGTGGCCATTTCAGGAACCTAAATTGTTTATTGAAGGAACCTAAATTGGAGGTACCTACCATATATAAAGCAGCATCAGCTTCAATTTATTTAAAGTTTTTATGAGGGAATGAGGGAATGATCCACAAGAACTAGTAATAATCATCCCAGCAACCCCAATTCCCATCCATTCCCTACTAAGCTAAGCACCAGTAAGTTAGTGTTGTATAAAGTTTTAGACTTTGTTTTTTTTTTTATAAAGCAGCATCAGCCTTGCTGATTCAAACACCCGAGATTATTCATGGCTGCCATGGCTCTGGAAACCCAGTCGCTGTGAAAGATTCGAGACCTGATAGTTTTTCTTCACTGGGCCCATGTTCGACCCAAAAACTAAGGATTGACATTGAAGAAAGGATACTAACATCACAGATTTTCCGGATGATCTTAGTTTCTACATGTTTTTTTTCCGGTTCTTTCAATTTTGAACAGTTTGTTTTCATAGCGAATCATCTCATGGATGGAGCATTTGAATCCAGTTCCCTACCTCCCTACCTTTTACGAGGC